ACATTCAAATCTGTTATCATATTGTTTTAGCATTTCCTGTTTTAATTTTAATTTCTCAGATCATTCAAAAACAAATGTTCTTTTTGTTCATTGTCTACATGTTTGTAATAAAATAATTAAAGAAACCTTTTCAATGCATGTCTCTGTTTTTTCACATCAAAATGTATTAATATAACATTACTCTAAAGTCTGGTTTGTGTGTTTGTGTTTGCAGCCAAAGCTCAAATATGTCAGTTACACATAGAAACTGCCTTAGTGACTCACTTGTGGTTAGAAAAGTACCCAAAAAAAATATTTCTTAATCTTTTACAGACTGAGATAAAAAGGTAATTTATGGGGCTGTCATGAAATTAGGATTATTTTTTCTATAAAAACAGTTGTAATATTTTTATTTGAGACATTTATATTTAAATATATTCTCTTGAAACAGTGGTAAGCGTGTCTTTTGTTTTCTTCAATCAGGCCTCCTCTTATAGGATGAATCTCACTACACCATGTAGTCACCAGGTCAGACACTAAACAAGAGCTGTCACTACCAGAGATAATGATTCTGATCATGACGTGCAAACATTATGACCTTTGCCTTTGTGTTATGGCTGTCTGTTCCTGACCTGATCCTCATCTTTAACGGTAAACAACCTGTAAACACAGTTTGTATCTTTAATGATGTCACAGCACATCTCTGCAACATTCACTCTTTTTTTTTTTTTTACCTCTCATGCATTCTGCACAGTCGACACTTTTCCTCTCTGTTTGCATATCTGAAAGTCTTCCCAAGGTGTTGACCTGAACAGAAAACAAGTGGAGCAAACTGAAATGAAAATATGAATTTAAAAAAAGTAAATGTAAAATGCTTCTGTCAGTTTAACAAAAAGAGGGAAACAAACAGTCACACTTGAGTGGTGCTGACTCAGAGGCAGACATAAAAAAAAGAGAAATGAGAGCGTCCAGTCATCTCTCTGATCCATTGATAAAGATCCACGTTTGCCATTGACTGTAATTAATGCAAAGTATGAAAAGGAAGTTCTACACGTCAAGGCAACAGTTATTCAAACGGTCGAGAAAACAGAAATAAACAGATATCATAGCACAAAAATCATATTAAATATAAATTATTTTTTCAGATAGTGACTTTAAGTCAAAAGAGAGCAGAGGTATGACTGTGCAGATTGAACATGTTATAAAGCTAACCTCATTTAATCTGCATCTCAGGGCATCTCATCATGTCAGGAAATATTTACACATATTCTTAAAAACGACACAAACTGGAAACCTTCACCATACTGAACTGTCTTATCATTTAAAGGGAGAGATGTAATCACAGTTATTAAATAATCTGACTCATTTTAGCATTATGTTTCCACTGCATCTTAACATCGTGCAACACTCTCTGAACATTAGAGGGGATTAAATCACCTGTGGAGTCCACGATGGTTTGTTCATTATTTGTATTTAAAACTCCATTTACCTGACAGACGGGTTATTTATCAGTTATCGGTTATTTATTTTGATTCAGTCACAAATAACAATAACATGAAAATAATGTTAAAAATGATTAATTAACTTTTCATTTCAGTCTTGTCAACTTTGTCATAGTGTTGTGATGATGAAACATTATAATGAACTCCATTTAAAGGATTTTACAGATGTTAATCACCCTCGTTAAAGTAAAGGGAAATTAATTTGAATGCCTGTGTGTTTGTGTTTCAACATTCAAGATGTTTCAGCATGAGCAAAGCAAGTTTCAGCATCTGTGAGTATTATGAAATCAACTCATCTAAGTTCAGGGCTGGTTAATATTTTACAATCATATGATATCAGTTGATTATAATACAGTTTAATAGCATTAATCAAACATAAGTGCTGCTGTCACACAGTAGCTAAAGGGACAGTGACAATTGTTTCCTTTTAAAACTTCATTATGACCCAGCAGCACAGGTAGTAACCTAATTTAAGGAAATAAACAGCCTTATCTTTGAAGAAATACTTAGTGTGTTTTACTGTAAAGACTTTAGAGACGGACCACAGACTCTGAGATGATGTCAAACTGAAGGAAAGTATTGTTTAGTGTCAAGACGTTTTGTAGCAGCTATTCAAGATCAGTTTAGGTGATTGCTGGTTGATTTTTGCAAATATGTCAACATTAAAATGCATGTGTCGATAAACTCATGCATTCAAAAAAATTTGAATAACGCTTTACAAAAGTAAAGCCTTTATTATCTTCAAACTAAGATCTGGTACAATGTTGGTTCAGTTTTTTTTCTAGCAATCAATCAAGCTTTATTTATAGCCTATAAAGCACCTTTCATATAAATCAATCATCAGCAATTGAAAAAATAATTTAAATAATCACAGTAAAAGTGAGTTAAAAAATAAATAAAAGCACGAAAAAAGTGATAAAAAATTAAGTTCAACAAAAAAAAAGATAAACAGTTAAAGAAAATAAACCAATAATACAACAATCATTATAAAACATTGTAAAAAATAAAATATAAAACCCTACATAAAAGCCAGACTGAATGTTTTTAGCTTACGTTTGAAAGTATAGATATTTGATGAATACATGATGAATAGACAGTTTAATGATTTTGCGGTTCAGTTCAGTGTATTCACGTGTAAAAAAAAGCGTTTTCTTTTTTTTTGGGGGGGGGGTTTACAGTTTCTGGACGTCACAAAGGTGGAGAAACCCGTCACTGTACTTCCTCTTTATTTTCCAGTCTCCATGGTGACCTCTGATAAAAGCAGATTTGAAGAAATTAGGTGACACGGCTGAGAATTCCGAACGTTTGGGTTTTGTCCTCGCCGGGCGGTCACTATGGCAACAGTGACACGTGGCCGTCAACAGCCTGCCAGAGCCTACGTCACGGGAGGAGACTGCGGTTGGACTGTCTGCTTCCGCATTAGCACCCAGCATTAGCTTAAAGTTACCTTACTGATCTCACCGTTCCATTTAAAACAGTCTCAAACATCCTTTCACATTTATTTAATTCTCTTTTGTGTTATCTTTCTGTCTTGAGTGTTTGTTTTGTGTCTCAGCGCCTTCTCTCTCTCTGAACACTTCTTTGTTCTTAACACCTACGCACTTAACTACTCACCTGTCTGCCGCTAGACTACCTCTTTAGGGTTGGCCAATGGGATTCTGAGGAGGGAGTAACTATGGCAACATAACAGGTAAACAGAGGTGGAGATAAGAAGGCGGTGAGATGTAACAGGATGGAGGACTCGGAAACACACACAGTGACGTAGGTTTTGTTGTAAAGGTGATGGGGTTACCTGTAAGTAATTTTAGATGATTTATTTCATAAATGCATTTTATGTTTGTAATATTTACAAGATGTTTGTTTGTTTTGTAAGCCTGATTCTATCAAATCAAAAATATTTCAACAACAAAATTCCTAAAGGTTAACTGTCTTTTCAGGAGACTATTAAATAGAAATATATTACCGGTACTTTATTAAGTCCCAAAATACTAATTTCCCCGCTTTTTTCAGTAGTGTTTGAAGGTCATCTGTTCAGGCAGAATCCCTCTACATTATTTTAAATCAAGCATGGGCACTTTATTGTTAGATATTTGAGAATTTGAATACATTTCAAGGGAAAAAAATCTGTCTTTTCTGTGATTATCAGGAACCTTCATTTGCCATGGACACAACATTCAGACTTTATTACATTTATGGGGGGAGAAAATACTGGCTAATGTAAACTCAAGAGTCAAGACACTCAGGTGCACTTAACAGTAAAAAGAAAGAAGACATGAAGATCCCGACAACCTGACAGGAAGACCCCGGAAAAATAAGTCTGCAAAGTCACTCCTTAAGATGAGAGAATCAAATTTATTTCAAATATAAAGACATAAACAATTAGACTAAGCAGGACAAAACGGACTAAATAAATATGCAAGTGTGCATAAATCTACTTGTTGTGGATTTCCTGTCTTGTCCCCCTCACATCTACAGATCCACCACCCCACCCTGCAGCTGTGCAACAAGTCAGCTCTCTTCCTCCCTCCTTTTCCCCTCCCTGTCTGCGCCTTAGTTTCTCACCATAAAAAAAAACTGGCACTCTCTGGGAGAAGACATAATTGCCATTATGACTGCTGCAGCCCGGCACATCACACAGAGTGCTGATTGTTCCAAAGAGGAAGAGGGGGCAAACACCGTCTGCTCTGTGCAGACGCCACACAATGTTATGATAGCGTGACTGCAGCTCACTCACACACACACACACATGTAGTCTCCACCTTCCTCTCTACAGCGCTCTTTAGTCGCCCTGTAATCTTTCCATTAAACACAGAACAAACATACATTTCTATAGGACTGAAAATCCATACTCCACTGCCTTTAAAGATCGTTTCTCTGTTAAGCCCTGGGTAAACACACACTCAGTAACACACGGTGCCACCGCCAATAGGAAATGATAGATGGACTGAATGGAAAAGCCGTTTGTACAAAGACAGGAACGCCCAACTTTTGTGTGTGTGTGTGTGTGACACAGGGCTGAGGTTTTGGGAAATTTCACCTCATCCCAGCTCCAACTCTCCATCTGTGTTTCCAAAAAAGAAAAGGTCACCCTTCCCACAAAAAAAAGAAAAGAAAAAATGACACTTTTAACAACCCGAGGAGAATTCAGGCCTCAGTGAACTTACTATAAAAAAACATTTGATGCACAAAGTTTCTGCTTTTCCATCAACAACAGGACTGAGTGTAACCGTGTAAAGGAGCAGATATTTGATCAGCCAGAGGAAACATATCCACTCCCACAGTAAGCAGAATGATGAACACTGATGGGAAATGTGTTTATCATTGTGATGTTGATTCTGCAGAGAGGGAAGGAGCTGAGTCCCGCCTCCTGAGTGAGCACTATCCATGCATGGATACATTTTTTTAAAGCTTCGACAAGCCCCTCGGAGGATCTGGAGACACCCACCAGAGATTACCGGAGCTCAAACGCAGCATTCACAGCTCCCCTCACCTCTTCACAAGTCACAGAGAACACAGCGCTTAGTTTGGGATGTTTTTTTTTATTTTTATTGAGGAGAGAAGTTTCAAAAGGTTGGACACAGAATCAAAGTTTACAGAAGGATGTTTGAGTCTCTCAATTAGGAACAAAAACAGGTTATAAAATGAAGGCTTTCTAAACGAGATGAATAAACTCAGAGGACGTTTTATGAGGTTCACCTGCACCGTCCAATGCCATACAATAGAACTGTTGTGTCATAAAGTCGACTTTATGATGCCTATAAGGTTCAGATGTAGTTGACTCTGTAGTGGAGCTGTTGGTCAGATTATGTGTTAGCATTTAGGTCACCGTTTGTCTGAGACTGCAGCTTGTTCGGAGGCAGGAAAACTTTACTTTACTACAGTCCAAATACCTAACAGAGCTAAATGTCGACATTTCAGAGTACATTATTAAGCCTTGTCATCATTGTGGAGGTGGAACTGTACTGAACTGAATATATAATGCACATGAACCTCAAAGAGGCCCCTGAATTATTTTTGTGTCTAGACATCAATCAAACTGAGGAGAATCAAACTTTAATATTCAAAGTGTTCTTTTCAAAGTCCAGCATGTAAGTGTTTGTTCCACGTAAGGCAAAACATTTTTCAATCTTCACAAAACGCAGAAACCAAACAAAGTAATGTTAGGTAACGTGTCACATGACGGGGCCTTCATGACATTCTCACATAGACCCTCCGCTCATATGTATTTTTATTCTTACAGGAGGAAATGATCCATTTGTGATTTATTAAGCGGTACAGTCTTTCATCTTGTAACAGGTAAAGGTTTGAATAAAATAAAGAAGCAATAAGGTCATATTCAAGTGCTGTGACGGTGTGTAGTGCCACAACTGAACAGAAATAAATAACAATGCCTCAGACACACGCACGCACGCGCACACGCACACGCACACACACACGCACACACACATGCACACACACACGCGCAGCTAAAACCTGATGCATTCTAGGCTGTCTCTTTGGTGCATGCAACAGCATGCGACCCGTGCTATTTCAATAATCTGAAAAGACAGGGGGAAACTGTACTTGTCTTGACAAGTAAATAGTGTTATGGAAAGCATTAAGACCGGAAACCCTCACCGCTGACACCCATAAAATCAGGTTTTCAGTTGCAGCCTTAGATGACGCTGCCTTATTACTGTTGCCTTGCCTTAACCGAGTACCTTCACCAGTAACACCTGCTAGAAGTCAACCCCAGAAAGAAGACCCAGCACAGGAACAAGCTGCTCGCCGTTTCTAAAAGACGGGTTGGAGCACTTAGTCTTTTTTCTTGAGCGCAGACAGCTCGTCGGCATGGCGAGCGAAGGTCTCTGCCACGAGCAGAGGGAAGACTAAAGAGGCGTCAGCATACACCTGGAAACAAAGAATACAACAGCCTGTCAACTGTCAGCAAAATAAGTCACACCTACTTCATTACACTGAAGGAAATCCTGAGTTTTCATCTTTATGTGCTGGTGCTCAAACCTATGATTGAACACTGTGCAGACGCTGCCACCTGGTGGCCAGACAAGGAGGCACAGCTCCAGGCGACCACTCAAAGTTCAGGCAAGTTATTGCACAGAAACCTCAGCAGAAGCATCCCTTAAAGGCTTTATATGTGATTTTTCACACTTAAATATAATAGAAATCAAGTATATCCTCTGAAAATAACTCTGTGAGTCATGACTGTCTACAATGAGTGTAACACCCGAGTCCCACTGTCTGTGATGTTTTCAGAGTCCTATCTTCAGTTTGTTTACATCATCGGGACGGCCGGCTGACTCCTCCCCTCGCGTATAAAAGTTGTTTAATTGAGGGACTAGAGAAAAGAAGAATAACATACTATACTCACTGCTTAACTGTGTTTCTAGATCACGCTCATTTCAGGTAAATTTACATGCAGTGTGAAGATACGAGCATAATAAAGATCACTAGCATTAGCATGTTAACACAACAATGCAGCGCAAGTTGTTTTGGTTTCATGCTGGTGCTCAAGGGCGACATCTGCTGCATCAAAAAAATCACATATAAAGCCTTTAATCTAAAGACCTATCAAATAATATCTGGAGGGACAGGACAGGTAGTCTCTCAAAGTATCTTCTGATTGGAAATTAAAGGTACACAATGTTCACACTAATCTGGGGACGAGCATGCTAATTATTTCTGCGCTCAATATCTCTCAAGTCAAATGTATTTATATAGCACATTAAAAAACAAAACTCAGTTGACAGAAGTGCTGCACAGGTCAAAAATTAAATGTGTACCTTAACAGGAGTGGCATCAGCTTTGATCTTTCCCCAGGACACGGCCTCGTCGGGTCGGGCTCCAGAGTCAGAGCCATCGAACTCATGACCCGTGTTCACAAACACGGCGAAGTCAGCGCCGTTTCTCTGGAGGACACAAAAGAGAGGCAGAGCGTCAAAGGATGAAACTGAGTGATGCAGGTTAACATCTAATGTAAAAAACAAAGACGAGGTGCTGTTAGTTACCATCAGATTAGCATTGGATATGTGATGTTTGACCACCCCTCCTCCCAGGATGATCATTCCAGTCCTTTTGGCAAACACTGAATGGCTGTTCAACCGGCGAATGTCTGAAATAAAAAAAAGTCCACAGTCATGACATGAACAACAACTGAAACGCCTCCAACGATCCTGTTCTGTAGCAATGGTTTTACCTTCAACTATGTCCAAGACTAAGCCAGGGTTCCTGTAAGAGTGGAAGTAGATCATGTCGCCCATCGAGCCGTCAGTCAGAGCCGGACTGAACACAGGGATATTATTCTGGAACAAACATATAGGAAACATTTAACGACCGGTGAGACCGGACAGGAAGCAGCTTTACATCAAGAGCAAACTTAAATATTCACACTGGTTTTAAATCCACTGATTTTACCAGTTCTTATCAAACCACCAACAACCAATGGTTACGTCATAACACTAATAATTTAGATTTTTTTTTAAAAACACAAAGCTTTAATTAAAACTCAACAGAACAGTGTAGTGTAGTATACGACATTAGACACAGCCAAAGGCTCACCTTGTACGCCCAGTAGTAAACCGACTCAGGATTATTGATCTCCTTGCCAAGACGATGGATCATTTTGGAGGGAGTCCAACGCACGCCCTGGAAAAAGAGAAGTTGAAAGTTTTAGACAATTTATAAAAGAAACTTTAGTAACATCCTGACTGCAAACTTTGTGGAAAATTTTTTTTTTTTAAAGGGCCCGTGTCCACATGTCAGCGCCCACAACGTTAGTTTCAGAGTGATTCTCACCAGCACCCACTGTTGCTAGGCTACAAAAGTTAGTTGTTTAATATTTGCATTAATTTGAGGAAATATCCCGAAGAAAACAGAACGATGCAAAGGAGTCGTGTCCCGGCATCAGCAGCAGCTCTACACCTGGAAATGTTCCCCCGAGAAGACGAGTCAAATCTAGCGTCTCCTTCATCATTGTTGTTGACAAAACTGACATCAGAAGCCCCGCCCCTTCTTGATTTTGATCAGTCGTTGAGGGAAAGGTGACAATGATGAGCACCGTCCTGATGCCAAGGGGGTTTTAGTGCTCAGGATGCTGGACTACACTGGTTTTGTATTGAAAGGGGGGCTGTGCCAGTGGAAGCCCTTAATGTGAGACCCACAACTACTGCCAGCTTTTTCATAATAAAGACGTCCGCTGTGTTCTTAAACAGCGTCCTCATCACTCTGAGAAACCCACCTCTGTGTTCTGCTCCAACACCATCTGGTCCAGGATCGGCATCAGCCAGTCTTCAAACTTGCAGTAGTTGTCATTGGGCACCAAAATATTTCCAATCCTACGTTCAGCAAGAACAACAAAAGAACAAGTTAGCGAATCTGCGACAGGAGAACCTTTAAAGACGAGCACCTGCCTGTCAAACATCACACTGTTTAATATACGAGTACACAGCAGAGAAAGTCTCGAGATCAAAGATAACAACAGTAAAGCTTCAGCCGAGGATAACAGTCTGACCGGAATGAAAATAAACTTACAATGAGAGAAGCCTGAGACATCAAGTGTGTCTGCTATAATCTAAACTACAGGCGGCTTTATGGTTAGCTTAGTATAGCATGTTAGCAGCTAAACCAGGCTCAGAGCTTCAGAGGTGCTGACGAGTGGTTGTTTCAAAGTTATCAGACCAGATTTAATATATGAGTTGGATCAAATCTTAAACACAGGTAGTTCAAAGAAATATTGTAATATAATAATATTTATGTCTGGATTAAACCTGCAGTTTGTGTTGTATGACAACCATCCAATTTTTCTTTGAAAACCTAAGACAAAAGTGGGCTGGCTTACCCGAGCCTGGGTAGCAAAACAAGGAGATTATCAAACTGTTTCTGGTCAATAAGAGGTCAGCCATATAAATCGACATAAAACAGGGAATCGGTTGTCATTGGACACACTGAGCTCAGCTGTTTCATGCTAAGCTAAACTAAGATGACCGGCTGCCAATTGGACATACACAAACATAACTCTATGTGTTCTTTAAGGCTCAGCTCCCTGATCAGAATCACCCTGAGGACATGAATGTGACAGGTGTATTATATATCACTAACCTGTTGATGCCTCTCTGACGGAGCTCCTTGCCTGGCAGATTGAAGTCTCCCAGGTAAGCGTTAGCCAGACACTTGATGATGTCCTCCTCTATGCCTCCAGCAGTGGTCACGACCACGTCCACCTGACGCACAGGAACACGGTCAGACGATTGCTTTTCTGTGATCTGAACATGATCTAAGTTATCATAAGAAGGCGGTAATATGTTTGTACCATTTTGTGCTCAACCAGGTAGCGGATGCTCTCTCTGATCCCGGAGCTGATGAGGTTGGAGGTGTAACCCAGGAAGATGGTGCAGCCCAGTTTGGGTTCCACACCTCCGATAAAATCAGCTTCGTCTTGTTCTACCTCCTGTGGCTCGAGGCGCTTCTCAATCTGTGTGTGAGGGAGTGACCAGACATCAACCGTCATGAAAACAAGTTGGGTGAGCCAATGTGTCAATGTGGTGGGAAATATTCAGGAAAATTATCATTTTATTTGTCAGCAAAGGGGCAAGTAAAAATGCTGCATTCTTGGAGTTTGGTTTTGCTGAACTTTTGACTTCAACAAAGCAGTTTGGTGGTAACCTCCTAGATTTAGCACGACAAGGTCCAATTTTACTTCAGCTGGTGATGAAGATAGGCCAGCATTCCCAAAAATATTCAGTTTCTCCTGCTATTGAATTATTCATCTTATAATAAAAAATGTTATGCTTTGAAAGTCACATCTAAAATCTCACCCGCTTCTATTGTACCATGATGGAGGGAGAAATCTTAGAGGCAAACCTCTCATCATCAAGGCTTACTCGGGTAAATAACAAGAGTTTGATTCTTTTAAGGTCCTTGATCCGAAGTGGATCCTCTCACCATGCGGTTGATCTCCTGGATGGCCAAACCGAGCCTGCTGGCCTGGAACCCCGTGTTGAGGTAGCTCTTCAGTACAGCCTGAAGGTCGACCCCCTGGTTAAAGTCGTAGCCTTTAATCATCGGGGTGTCATCCGGGAGTTTGCAGCTACGCTTGAGAACGGCCTCCATGGCAACGGTAGGGGCTTTGTCTGCCATCTTTTCCTGCAAAAACAAAGAAGAAGACACAGTGGTGGTGGTCTGGTTATCATCAAGGAGATTCACCACTAAGGCAGCAGCTCTGCTCTCACTTCACATGCAGAGCCACATGTCTAAATATATTAAGCTGTTCGCCCATAAACCAAACAGCATGGAAAGTTTTCAAAAAGAATCTGCCTGCAGGCTTTTGTTTGAGGAGCGTCGGGAAATTGAAGTGATGTCTTCAGAAGGTTTGAAACTGGTTTTCTTTTTTACATATTTCATGACCATAATAATACAATGGAAAACAACTGTGATACACCTATGAACATCCAGTTAAAACAGCCTGAGACTTATTTTTCTGATCAAACCAAGAAGGAAAACACACCAGAGACATGTTGAGAAGACGTTTTGCATCTGCACAGCGGTTAAAAGAGAAGAGTTCAAACACCTGAACTTTTAACTCTGTCCCGTGTTATTTGTCTCACAGCAGGAGGGGCTGCTCGATTATGACTAATCACGATCATTCTGATTGATATTGTGGTCACGATTAATTTACAACATCAGGATCACAAGCATGTAGTTCACTTAAACGCTTTTAACACTTTCACATGTTGCACACACAAGACAAACAACCCATGAACATAAACAAGTACAAAATAAACAAACTGTGTTTTTCAGGTTGTGGTGATGTTCTCTTGTGGCCAAAACAACAAACACTTCAAAACATTTACCACACCTGACAAAACCTAAGATCATAACGAGGGCAACTTTAAGGAACAGTAATTGTTTAATCTAGATTATCTCGGGAAGCCAAAATCGTAATTGAAATTAAATCTTGATCAATTGTCCAGCACTAACAGAAGGGTTCTTTTCATTGTTGTTCTTACACAATAACTCCTTTCCTTTCTCACTTCGATTACATCTTGAATTCTACTTAAGAGCTAACTGCACTGATGGAAAGTAACTAAGCGTATTCCATATAGTGTATTACAAAAATACAAAAGATGTTTCTTCTTTCCTTCTTCCTTTTCTTGGTGCCATTAAAGTTCTACTCTGCAACAGCTGAAGTGGAAATAATTTGTTTTCCTTCACAGCTCTGTTTGCAGGCTCTGCAGTCGCGACTTGTAGAGGAGATTATTTTGGGGTTGGATCGTTGAAGTTTTATTTACTACCCCAGTGTGCAGAGATTAATGAGAATATTACATCATGGGACAGATCCTGGATGTTGAGCATTGTTTCTGTTTGTTTCTACGGATGCTGTCAATATATTGCATGAAATCCAGGAGCTGGATTTGTAAATAATGTGTAAATAAGTTATATATTATTTTAGCTCAGTGTTTTCAGTTCTGTTCAATTTAAAAGTTTTCAATGTTGTTCACCTAACTTCATTTGCAGGTTTGAAATCGTCCAATAGCGTTCAAACAAGACACAAACATTTGAAGCATGTCAGCAATTAACTCTGGGTTTTATTTCAGATTGCACTGAGGCTCACAAGTTATTTGCAGACATGGGACAGATTTTAGCTTGAAGTCCTGTTTTGGTCGCTACATGCTAATCGATGTTTTAAAGCATTATGTAATCTCGACCTGTGTGACCTTATGTTGGTTGGTTTTAACATCTAGCTAGTTTTCTTTCATGCACAACCAAGTTGGTTACGTAACCCACAACTCTGACAAAACTAACTTACTGCGATGAAAACAATAGAAACTTAAACGCAACCAAAGTGTTAAAAATTAGCCAAAACAAGCGTTAACGATCCGGTGTTACTGTCACATTAAGCCATTTCTTGAAAATAGGAAATATATCTTATAACTGAAGCAGAATAGCATCAACACCAACAATCAATGAGGCTGATGTTAGCAGGGAGGCTAACGGTAGAGAGCTAGCTTAACTGTGCGCCGCTCTCCTCCTATCGAGCGGCTTTAAATCGAAATGAAACGTGTAAAAACTGATATTAATACATACCTCTTCTTTATGGGGTGCCAGGCGTTAAACGAAGTCAATGGGTAATGTCAGCGAACACAAGAAAGACGTATTTTTAGTATTTGCATTCCGGTAAATAGAAGCATGGGCTGCCTGCGCCAAGCGAGCTCCAACTACGGAAAGAGCGAAGGATCAAATAAGACCAAAATGAATTTCTGCGCAGAGAAAATTAAAACCCCCTCTTAAAAACTTTTTTAGCCGTGTAAATACTGCAAAAGTTTTTTTCTTTAATGCATTATATCATCCATATTCATTTAATACATGTTAAATGGTTGCTGTGATTCTTTACTTAGTTTTTATGTTTTATTCTATTTTATTTATTCATATTTAATACCCACTGTTTGTCAAAGGTGCCTGCAAGCACACCTGTAATAATTTATAAATATTAATAATTTTTCCACATTCAACACATTTTTATCTACTAACAAAATTTATTTATAAAAGTTCTATCTTTTTATTGTTGTTCTGAGAGACCCTGTTTTTAGACCGCTGTACATGTTGTTAAAGGTAAATACACATGATGTAGTTTAAAGCACAGCTTACTGCCAATAATCTTTTCATCACATGTGGCTGTGAAGTGATGTGTGATGTTTGTGACATTTCCAACGCTTTTTTTGTATGACCTTTAACATCACAGAGCCTTTGAACTTCCCCTGATGGGGAATAAAGAGGGGAAAAAAGGTGAGAGAGGACGGTCAGGAGCGTCTCTGAGCAGACTTTCCTGCACAACCTGCACAGTCCCTCTGCATCAGGTCAAAGACGTAATTTTCCTGATTCTTCTTTGGTGTTGGAGGGGGACACTGTAGTCCTGGTGGAAGGTTTTTGCACCACAGGAAACTTCAGGAAAGATGAGCAGCAGCAGCGTTGTTCAGGCACAAAAGCTGGTGGATCAACTTCGGGTTGAGGCGGGCATGGAGAGAATCAAGGTGTGTAAAAATCAGATCTACCTTTGTTGAAAATAAACAAAGTACTGACATGCATTATGTCTTTTTTATAGCATTGAATGTAGGCTATGATGTAAAGTATTTATTTACATTATTAAATCATCATGATGTGCTATCCTGTGAAACGTCGTCCTGTCCACCTTTATCCCTGCAGATCTCGCTGACAGCAGCAGATTTGGTGCGATACTGTCAGGAGCACAGGAGAAGTGATCCTCTGATCACAGGCATCGCCACCTCGTCCAATCCTTTCAAAGATAAGAAGAGCTGTGTGCTGCTTTGACAGTCGTCCCGAGTATTAAGATAACAAACACATAATCAAATGTCCAATGGCCTTCTTTGTGGGGGAGTGCAGCTGAAGATTTCAAGAGTCAAATGTGGACAGAAGAAACCTTTTCAGCCGTGATTATTTATGTTTTATTTTTCTCTGTGCATCTAGACTTTCCCTTCAAGCATCTCTTCTGAGACACTGTCTAGATGAAACACTTTACAACACATAAGTAAAGAGTAAAAGTGTTTAGCACAGATGATGGTTTGAGATGTTTTGACATTTTGTTGAACATTTCAGGAATCAAATTCAGCACACCCAACAGCAGACACAGACGGTGGTTTTCAGGAAGATGCCTTTAATGTCTTTCAGTGTGTTTTCAGGGCTGCATCTCGTCAAGTGTAGTGCAAATGATTCATACTTTGATTTATTTTAGCCATTAAATGGTTGTACTAACACTCTCACAAACATACACACACAGGATATAAGGAGACAAACATACAAGTAAACATTTCTATGATTAGCATGAGTGAGTTTAAATAAATAGCTTTCCAATCAAGTGTGTTACAGAGGGCTTAGACATCACGTGTGTTTACAGCATACATGAGGAGTACATCATGCTTGTGGTACAATGTCAGTTATTGTATGTAAATACTCGTAACTAGTTTCTTTGTTTTGTTGTTAGACGTACAATCATAAAAAAAATAAAAATAAAAAAAAGAGACTGACTTCTGCCAACCGAGTGTTTTTTAAAGTCTTCAGATCCGGCATGAAATGGAAGTGAAGGGTACAAGACCCAAAATAAATAAAAATAAATAAAAATCATGTTTACACACTTGTGTTTTGTTTGTAAAAAAAAAAAACAATCTCTCAACACAATCACACAGAGGATAAAAAAATTGAAGAAATTGGACCTTTAGTAATTGTTTTGTGCCCCATGTATGCTAAAAAGAAAAACCTGTTAGCTGTCACCGCTAGTCTTCAGGTTCTCCTGTCTGCATGCTTTCAAGTCTCACCCGGTAGTCTGCAAGGTTTGTTCTTTCATTTTCTGGGCCTCCAGACTTCCACGCGCATGTCTCCTGAGGCCAAAGCGAGGACCCCGGCCTCCACACTCAGCTGTGAGACGAAGACAGCGGCAGGCGGGGCATTGGGGGAGAAAAAAAATAATTCAAATATCATTTTAAAAGACAGATTATTACTAGAGAAACAGGTACAGACTGGAATGAACTAACTCCTAAACCTGACTCCTTCTGTTTTGATGTAATAATTCAAAAAATGTGACTCTTTGACCTTGCCTGTTTTGTTTTTTAGTATGCATTCCTGTACTGTTTTTATTTTTCATGTGTACATGTGTGCGTTGTTTTCCTTTTCTTCGTGCTATATAACATGTAAAAATTCAATAAAAACTGAGTAAAAAAAAAAAAGAAAAGCAGACAGATGATTATTTTGTGTGTGCTCGTTTGCCATACAAAACCGGTCAAATAGTTCATATGCTCTTAAGGTGCATTTACTGGACAAAAACACTAACCGCGTTGACTCCAGCTTTGTGGTGCTGTGTGCATAATGTCCTCGGAGGTGCACAGGGGATATGCACCTGAAACACAAACAACACATTACAACTCAAGATCAATCAGGGGCAGAGTTCACTCAAGGAAAGCAGTTCAATATGTAGTAAAAGTAGGAGTGGGCATGCTCCTACCTTAACAGTGCGATCCGTTGAACAGGTGTAGAGGCTTCCAGCGGACCTGTGGATGCCGGTGATCATGGCTCCGTGTCCCACATCAAACTTGGAGATGGGTTTTAAAGTCCCCGCCTGCATGGAGAAGGTGTGGATCATGCCGCTGTGGTCTCCCGCCCACACCTCACAGCCACGGTAGCTCATGGACTGCAGGTAGGAGCTCAGCTACAAAGGAAGAGGGGTGTTAGTCGAGGTTCATGTAAGCGCACAAACGCTCACTTAAAAGTTCCAAGTGTGTTTGTTTGTTTGCATCCACCCGAAGTTTCTTCAAGTCTTTGCCTGCCCTGCGGTCATACACAGCCACAGTGCAGTCCGTACTCCCAGAGATGATGTACTTGTCATCAGCAGCCATGCACAGCACAGCTTCACCATGGAGACAGATGCTTTTCACCAGGGGTTGAGCAGCTGTAGACAAAATCATGACATCATCAGTCACACCAAAGGATACAAAACCTTAATTTTGAAATACAAGTTATATTCTATTGCTCACCTCTGGGGTCATACATGTTGACCCTCTTGTCTAATGTACCAGCGAGCAGTATGTCGGCCTGATAGGACAGACAGAGGACAGCCGCCCCAGCCCTGATCAGACCCATCTTTGCTCCATCTGCCTGCAGGTCCCACAGCCTCACCGTGCTGTCGAAGCCCCCCGAGGCCAGCTGATGGCCAAGAGCTGACAGACACCACACCCAGCCCCCATGGGTGCTGAAGTCACCCTGCCCTCCCAGCGTGTGCAGCAGTGTGGCCCCGGATCCTGCCTGCAGATCCCACAGTTTCACATTCCAGTCTCTGGAGCCTGTGGCCAAAACGGTCCCCTCACCCATGAGGAGGACTGAGTTGATCTGACCGATGTGTTCTGAAGGTAGAGGGATGCACTCCAGCTCTGGGGGTGGGCTAAGACTTCTGGGTGGTCGATGTTCATCTATCTCTATCGGTCTCCCGTTTTCCTGATTCTGGGGCTCTGCCAGCTCCTCCTGAGGATTTAGAGCGACATCCTGTGGCTGCCTCTCCCCCTCGCCCTCTTGTGTCTGTTTGGCTTTAAGGTGAGCTTGTCCTGTCCAGCAGGTTGTCAGCTGCTCCATCTCCACACAAGCAGAAGGCCAGTCAAAGTCCTCCCTCGGGCCTACAGGAAAGCCAGCTCGGGAGCCTATTAGTCTGGCTGCCCGGAGCTGCCAAGCTGTGCTGTCCTTTCCCACATTCTCTAATGCATGACAGACCTAAAGGGAGCAGGGAGAAGGATTTTTAAAAAAGACCTCTCAGACTTCAACAGTTTTCATGTTACTCTGCAAAGCAATGAAGCATAATGCATGACTCCACTGAGTTAAACGCTGAAGGAAGTTACTTTGACACATCTGTACTAGCTTTTTATTTTTAATTCTAAAAGCAAAGATACAAAAGCCTGAACAAACATACTTAAGAATGCACAATAACTTATCATCAGATAGTAAGAACTCTGAACGTTGTACCTTGGGCAGCACGTCAATGACACATTGAGCAGGAAGGTGTGAGGCAATGTTTGTTAACATCTCCCAGGGTAAAGACAGCAAGCCGCTGGCCTCGGCAGAGGGGGAGGGGCTCACGTCTGAGGAGGAGGGGGTAACAGGAGGAGGCAGACTGGAAGAAACGTGACGATGATATAATCGTCATTATTTTAAAGATAAAGTATGGTGACTTGATTTGTACTCGTAGGTAGATTTTGTATACAGTGAGTGAGCTGGCCTCCTTTTTTAGGCCCGACCGATAAGTGATTTTGGGGCCGATACTGATATCGATATTAGGAAGAGAAAAACATCTGAAACCGATATACCGGCCGATATCTTTTATGTTCAATCTGCAGAGATAGCTCGAGATAGATAAACACATTTATTGTGTTGATCCTTTAAATGCAGTTATCAAACACCTGCAGAGAGGATTTATAATGAAGACAAGATGGTTACCCAACTGGAAAGTAACCGAACATGTACTGCATCACCGCCTTATACTCTGGAGAGTGATGATGCTTGTTGTAATACATATAGCGCCCTCTGCTGGTGACAGAGAACTGTTAGTGGAATACAATGAGACTCAAATGAAATGCTGTTTGACTGGTAAATAAATCTAGTAATATCGGTGTACCTGAGATAAAATTAGCCGATACAGATAGTCACTGGATGTGCTAATATCGGCCGATATTATCTGCTGGCTGATTAATCAGTCCGGCTCTAGTCCTACTCTTTTTTTTTTAAACATGAGAAAGGGACAACATTGCTCAATACTTAGAGAATAACCATCAGTAGACAAGAATAACCCATCAGGAAGAACAAGATAAAGAAAAACAAACTAAAATGTGCAGAGATGGATAAATAACACTGAACTTTGCTGCTACATCACAAGTGCTGTAGTGTTATGACCAGTTCTTCTCACTTACAAAGTTATTTTTGTATCACTTAGTTTTCTAGGACGGCACTTTACAACTATGTCCAGACGGGAGAAGCTGAAATGTACCATTTAATGATTCATAGTATTGACACTTTTGTACCGAAACAATGTCAACACAGTATAATTGAGACAGTGTGCAAAAGTTTGATTAGATTTTCAGGACTTCAGTTCTTGTTGGTGTCCATATCTTTTTTGACTAGAGTTCTATGAAGTCAAAACATCTGGTACCACAAACTGCTGAGGGTGAGAGGAAGTCTTACCCCGGCAGCTCAGGTCTTGAAGCTTCACCTCTCTGAGATATCACCTGGTCAGGAGGAGGTGGTCCGTCCTGCTCCTGTCCACAGTCTGTCCCTGGGTCAGACCGGTCCATCATCCTGACCTCAGACATCACCTTCTTCTTCTTCTACTCTCAGAACCAGACCACTAGCTCATAAAAAACAGTAATCCCACATCCCCCTTCAACACTTCTCTAGTGTGGGTTCAATTAGTTTGCTCATAAGGGAATAAACTAGTGTTTTAATCTGAGATACGTTGCTTAAAGAAAGCTTCAGCTACCAATGAAGACAACAACATTTCACTGCTTTATCTACAACACATGTCAGTTATATACATTCAAGTATAAATGTCTTGTTTCACCTTTAAGATTGATCTATTTATCTTCAGCCCAGCCTTTTACACCCCGCTGAGCTCATTAAACTCATCCTCCGAGTCTGTTTATCAAAGCACGAATAACTGTCACCGCCGCTGTGCTCCTTAAATTCACTGAACTAACGACTTAGGAGACAGATATCAAAGGACATGTCTTGTAGGACTTCGAAGAGCCATTTGTGAGGAGGGACCCTGAGCGAAGTTAAGAGAACTCAAAACAAAACTTCCGGTGTTTTAAGATGACGTCATCGTCATGCGCAGTACGTTGAAGCAAGAGAGAGCCCACCCGTAACAATAATAATAATAATAATAATTAAAACCGCAAGCGGTGATGAAGGGCCCTCGCACCACGGTGCATGTCGGGGTGTGTTGCGACCGCGGGAGTGCAGCAGCACATCAAACTTTGAACGCACGTCATAGCCACGCCCTCTGATGAAATCACGTGCAGAGCACAACGAGATGTGTTGATCACGAGAACACGCTGACAGTTTGAATCCAGACTAACTTTCTTTTTATAAATCTGTTTTTGTATTTCAGTTTTACTTAAACTGTATTTCCGTTTTCTTTTCTTTCTTCAAAAACAATATTTTATCGATATTTCAACACAATATGCACAGAAATATACATAAACTTATACTTGACATTAATTACATGCAAAAATTCTCAAAACTACAAAATAAACACTTCTGTGTGTTATTATTCTTTTCACATATATAAAATAATTCGGTTCTGCTACTTAAGAGCTTCTTATCAATGCAATACAGTTGCAAACAGGTTTCCAGTTTAACTGAATAAAAGTTAAATTCTCGCTTAGCATTATGCTAACAAATAACATGGGAAATCCCATAGAGAAACGGCGAAGCTAGCGGAGTTAGCGCTACACTTTTTACATAAATACAAGTACAAAATATAAAAAACAAACAGTCTTCATGAACCCACGGTTACTTTAAGAGATCTGCAGGAGCTTTACAAAACTAGCAAAAGAGCATGGGAGCTAGGGACAAGCCATAACAGACATATATGAGCTAAGCTAGCGCTCATGAGCATCATAGCTAAAGTAACACATTTAAAACACATCCTGACACACACTAAAGGATTACCTTCCACATGCTATAGAAGAATATATAGACCACATGTATGTGATTTATGACATTTACTCACCTGTAAATAATAGCAACAGGTATGTTTCCTTTCCTGCTACAGAGCACACTAAGTTGTCTCACTTGGAGGTTACGCCTCCTTGTGGAACAAAGTGGAACCACACTCTAAATTAAAATATTTAAATCATGGATAGTCACCTATGGAAGCGATTAGTGATCAAAATTCAAATGAAAAAGCTAATTTGAAAATTCAAATGCATTAAGAGAAATGCTTTTTAAGTTTCAGAATATGAGTGTATTATTTGACTCTAAAATAAAATGATGATTAATTTATTTAATTTGAATTTTAGTTTTCAACTTCAAAAATGCACATTCTTTGACTAAATTAAAATGAGGAAGAAAATTACATTTGCTTTATCATTTTCAGAAAATGCCCCGCTACATCTGTATCATAATTCAAATGAAAAATCTAATTTAAAAATGAAAATACAGTAACAGAAACACGTTTTAATTTTCAGAATATAGGTGCATTATTTGACCTATATTTAAAATTAATATTCAGTCATCTGTTTGCATTATACTTTTACTCTCTATGTATGCATATTGTATGACATCATTCAAATGAAAACGAAAAGGTCTTTGGCTTTTCGTTTTCAAACTTGCCGTGCTAAAAAGTGATCATAATTCAAACCAACTCGAAAACGAAATGGCAAAGTGGACGGCGCAGGAAAGTGACATCAGACTCCAGTTCCCAGGCAGGCGAACGTAATATTTACAGTCTGAGGCGAGCGGGCTAATCGCTTCCATAGTCACCACAAGATGGCTCTGTATCATACATGAGAAATATTTAACTACCTTGACTTGAGAGCGTTATTAGCCCCTCTTCCCGACATGATAGCATGTCATGTCTGGTACCAATGGATGCAGTATTTCGTGCAGGTTCATTTGAAACCTGTATTTATTTATTTTTATAAGTTTAGCTAGATAGCCGTTAGCTAGCAAGAGTTACAGCCACTTCCTGTTTATGGCGATGTGATTTGTGGACTTCCTGTTGGATTTTGAGCATGGGTGCAAGAGGGTTTATTGTAGGTGTTGTCAAGATAGATACGCATAGTAAAACTCAGAACAGTAGGTTCAACGTGCTGCAGGGGCTGAATGTTTGAAATATTGTAGGGGTCACCACTGAGCCATTAAGCCACGCCCACTCATCTAAACGGTATCAAATGTTTGACTTTACCACCAGGATCATATGTATGAAGTTTCGGGACTGAACGACTATGTTAAGCCCGTGAAAAAACTACTTCTTGTTTGATGGCAACAGCGTTGGACGTAGGCGTTTGAGCTTGAAAGTCTTGTATGGCCAAGGTGTTAGCATGGTCCACACCAATTTTGAGGGGGAATTGAGCTACCATGTAGCAATGGCTAATGCTAATTGAGTAGAAGTAACTTCCTGTTGTCAACAGGTGGCGCTGTGACTAATCCAAAAGTTTCAAACATGGATGTGTTCAGGGCAGGCTTTGTGTCATGTTTAACAAATTTTAATATGATTGATTGGCAGAAATCGGCGATTTTGAGAGATTTTGGGCCATTTTTGTGAAATTCAACTTGAATTCGTGGACTTCCTGTCGGGTTTTTTGAAACACTGCAAGAGGATTTTTAGTCCGTCCCGAGAAGCTTAATATGCGTACCAATTTTCCTGAGTGTACATGAAAAAACCCTCTGTGGGCCATTTTGAAAATTTCAAGGGGGAGCCACTGAGCCATTTTGCGAAATTCTTTTTCGAAACCACCAAAATATCAAATTTTTCGCGAGACCTGATGACCGTGGCAAGTTTGGTGAGTTTTCGCGCATGTTCAGGCCCTCAAAATCGTGTTTAAAGTGGAGGAAGAATAAAAATAATCGCTAGGGTTTCAAGAGGGTCCTATGCACTTGTCAGTGCTTCGGGCCCTATTAATAATACATCCATGAAGCACAATGTGAAACCACTCCTGTGTCTTTTGGCAAGACATTTGTACACTTTTTAGACGACGTGTTGACTCTGAATCTTTTTATTTTCATATGGAAATGCATTGTTTTGGATTGTTTGGATTGTTTTGGATTGAAGTCTGGAAATTAGTCTGGTAGCTGGAGAGGTACCAGTTAACCTCCTGAGCACTGCCGAGGAACCCTTGAGCAAGGCACCGACTCAAATCCATCAACTGAAATAATGTGTGTGTGTGTGTGTGTGTGTGTGTGTGTGTGTGTGTGTGTGTGTGTGTGTGTGTGTGTGTGTTTGTTTTGGATGCTTTTCAAATAAATCTCAAACAATCTCCTTCCCACTCAGTTTTTGATACAGCTTTCTTTTTGCTTAGTCAAAATGTACGAACACGTTTGTTTGGAAAAAAAATTCTGCACTTTTTGGTATATCAACAAAGGGTTAAACTTAGAGCCATGGTTACTTTAAGAGATATGCAGGAGCTTTACAAAACTAGCAAAAGAGCATGGGAGCTAGGGACAAGCCATAACAGACATATATGAGCTAAGCTAGCGCTCATGAGCATCATAGCTAAAGTAACAAATTTAAAACACATCCTGACACACACTAAAGGATGGTGTTACCTTCCACATGCTATAGAAGAATATATTGACCACATGTATGGTAACGCATTCGTGGATCAATTTGTCATCTTGCCAGCGTGAACTGCAAACGTCTCGGCCACCAGTAACGGAAAAATGATGGAAGCATCTGCAAACACCTGGAAAGACACACATAAAGAGATGAGGAGCTTTATAATCCAATGATGAACAAGAGAAGAATCTGCTGCTTTAGTGACTCAGGAACAGATGAGTGTATATCTGCTGATCAAAGTTAATACTTGTTACTTTATTGTGTACTCTGTTCAACATGAAATACCTTCACAGGTTTCGCTTCGGCTGTGATCTTGCCCCAGGACACGGCCTCATTCGGGCTGGCTCCTGAGTCACAGCCGTCGTACTCCTGAGCTGTGTTGACGTACACCGCAAAATCCGCTCCATTCCTCTGGAAGGAGACGGAGCAGTTTATCAATGAGTCTGCTGCAAACACTCCTATGCCTCCACAAGACAACAACTGCAACCACAGTGGAAGACGATACCTCTGCACTTTGAACTTTCAGTTTCTGCAAAATTTACGAGATTAAAGTCTTAAATTTATGAGAATAAAGTCGTAAAGTCGTAACTTTACTACTTTCATCATTTTAAGCAGGCTGGTCTCGAACTCGTTAATTTACGAGATTAAACTCGTAAATTTACAACTTCATTCTCGTAAATTTATGACTTTATTCTAATTTACGAGTTTAATCTCGAAATTTGAAAAAAATACAAATTTAACATGGCCCTAATCCTCCGGCGTAGTTTTGTTCTTGGTAAAATGTAAAAATGTTTTTTAAAATGTACATTTGTCTCAAGGTTTGTAAAACTGTTTCACACTTGACTACATTTGTCTTGAATGGCTGCCAAAATTAATTCCTAAAAGCGTATCCAATGTAAAATCCTTACCCATGAGTTGGCGTTACATATGTGATGTTTGGCTACACCTCCTCCCAGGGTGATTATCCCCGAGCTGTTGGCAGCCAGCGAGAGTTTGTTCAGCTTTGAAATATCTGGAATCAAAAGCAGAGAGTATGATCAGCTAATGATAATGATAATGACATTATTTATAGAGCACCTTTTAAGACAGATGTTTACAAAAGCAGGAACACAAAAACACAAAAAAATCAAGAAGTAAAGAAGAAGACTCGTTCACCTTCGACTAAGTCTATGATCAAGCCGGGGTTCTTCTCTGCGAAGAGGAAGAACATGTCTCCTAAGGCACCGTCTGTCAGCGCGGGGCTGAACAACGGGATGTTATTCTGAAACACCAGAACACAAACACATCGGGGGTTCACACACAGACAACAGTCAGTGCTCTACCTCAGATTTTCTGAGCTCTGTAATGAAGGGGATAAGGACTCACCTTGTAGGCCCAGTAACAAACAGACTCAGGGTTGTTGATCTCTTTGCCCAAACGATGAATCACCTTCGATGGAGTCCAGCGAACACCCTGAATTAAAAAAAACAAAAAACCAATGAAGAAGGGCGCAATTGTTTTGAGAACATTGTGACTATTTTTGAAGCTCCTACAACACGTTGTAGGAGGAATATAAAAGTTTAAAAAGAAGATAAAGTCCACACACACCTGAGTGTTCTGCTCCAGCAGCATCTGCATCAAGATCGGCATCATCCAGTTGTCGAATTTGATGTAGTTTTCTTCCGGGATCAGAGTGTTTCCATTTCTGCAGTCAAAGAGACAAACTGAAGAACTGAATGTTTCTGAAATGAGAGCTGTAAGTCAATATATTGATCATTCCCATCTTCAGAACTGATAAAATAGAAGTTAGTTCGAGAAATAACTCACTTATTAAAAAGTGTTTAAGAACATTTCTGTCCATCTTGTGTTTTAGGAACATGGTATTTCCAGATCTCAGCTGATCTTGTTGACTTATTTGACATTATTTTCTGTTTGAAGGAGCAGTATGTAACTCTGACACCTAGTGTTTAAAATAGGTACTGCAGTCACATTCAAAACATTGTAGAGATCTGTCTACCCCCCCCCTCCTCTCTACAGTCGATGCTCACGCAGGTTGCCATGTGGTGAACACTGAAGCTTCAGTATTTAGCCAGCTCTGCATCAGTCTGTAAACCTTTCTGCGTTCTAACCTCTCTCCATTTTTCAAAAGCATCTCCAATATTGATCCTCGTTTGAGCACGTTTCTGCTCGTGGAGCTTATTAGAAACATGCAGAGGCTTTTTAGGTCGGGTACAATCACTTCTATCTGAACCACTTCTGTTGCCCGCTTCCATCGCTGCAACACCTGTTGACCTGATAACTGCTCTCATATCTGGCAAACCGAGGGGCGTCCAAAACAGGCCGTGTTTTGGGGGTGCGTGAAAACCACCTACCTTCTCTGGTCCAAACAAATCCAGAGCATTCAGGAGCAGAATCTAACGTTAGAAGGAGGACATACTGGCTGTTGCATTGTTGTCAGAGAAGCCATCACTTCAACATAGCATGTTTCCTTAATGTCTGATCATATAGTAAGCTCACTTTATCATTTCATTCAGTAGATATCTCACAGATTGCTCCTTTAAGCTATATTTGAAGGTTTCAGCGTCATGCTCTCTCACCTGTTCAGACCTTTTTTGTACAGATCTTTTCCAGACATGCAGAAGTCTCCAACATAAACCGGGCCCAAACACTTGATCAGATCCTCCTCTATGCCGCCGGCTGTGGTCACTATAACATCCACCTA